TTACGAATATATTGGTATTGGAAAAAAAAGTTTCCAAGTGTGACAGGATAAAACAGAGAAGGAATATAAATAAGTTATCATTGGAGTTAAAGTATTTCAAAATATAAACGGGGGTGTGGATCTTTTGATAACCTTTATATTCTGCTAGCTTAAACAATGTGAGAGTACTTGTATTCTATAAATTGGTAACATCAGTAAAAGAAGATATTCATAAATGATCTGTATTTTTATTTACTTTGTTCAAATTTGAATTTTGCCTTTTTTTTTTTTTTTTTTTTTTTTTTTTGTTTATCGATATTTATTCATGGTATAGTCGTCCAAGACCCTTAACTTTTTCTTTAAATCAATGTAAGTTAGATCGCCTTCTTTCATCAAATACATGTATTTGTCCGGATAATCAGGATTACGCGGATTAACAGTTGAAAATTTTGGTTCAACAATATTTTCTTTCTCAAGAATTTTGGAATTCATTTTATAAAAGACTGGATTTTAACGATATTCTGAACAAAATTTGAATAGAAACAATAAGACGTACACTAATTTGAAAGACAGATAGTGCCTCCTTTTCTCCGAATAAATCTGTCTTTCTTTTTTATTCTTTTTTTTTTTTTTGAAAACGATGTGTACGCAGTTGCGTACTTGCGTATAGGGAGCTATACGCGCCTGTGAATTTAAGGTGTGGTGTACAGGTTGCCTGTGTTTTATTTTTTTTTTTTTTTTGTTTGATATGATTATGATCTCATGATGGTGGTTGCCCTCTTTGAAAATCATTGCTACGGGCTAAGAGTGTCTGTTGTGCGAATCTTCGCATGGGTATCATGGTATTGACATGATTGAAGCACCGAACCTGGAATTTAACCTCGTATAGTTCCTAAAAAATTTCAAAAACTTATCTACTTTGTTTTACTCTAATGGAAAAGGTACAAGATATTCACACTTTGAGCCAGGCAGTGTGGTTGCCTTGGAAAAGCTGATGCTTGTTCTTTTAACTTGCCAAGTGACGATTTCTGGTCGGGATCGGCCTTCTGGACTATGAACTACTATTTCCAAAGAAGTTAAGAGTAGAGTGAGATGATGACTAATGCAGCTTATTCAAAGTATTAAACGATGTCTTAATATTTAGACGTAAGTAATCAAAAGGTGTAGATTTGATTTATGATGTCCATAAATATTTTTCTAATGGTATACATGGTATTTTAAAGCGAGTCTGAGGTGACGATGTGCTAAGCACGTGCTGATATCTGTGTCCATGTATAAGCTGGGTAAATGCGTAAATGCAGAAACATAAAAAAGATCAGAAGTTGCTATTTGACAAAGGTGATAAATACTAGTTCAATTACCTTCTAGCTGGATACAAAATGTTTAGTTGCACTATGTTTACAATTACAGGACAGAACTGCTCAAAAGTAAACATCCATACACATACTAGTAACTATTGTAACTTCCTTATATCTCAAGAATGATTAACCCATGCACTTATCTACTACAGGCACATGGAGTTTTCCTATAAGGTTAAACAAATATTACATTATTATTGTCAAAATGGATTCATAAGAATATCAAAGATAAATATCAATTAAGAATACCCATCTCCATTAATTAAAATTATTAAATTAAAAATAAAAGATTTATGTTAAGAGATCAACTTTTATCTGTCCCACTCATGCATCTAATTCTTCCCCTTTTCCGTGAAAGGGAACCTTAACCCTAATTCTCTCTGTGCCAGGAGGCACACAAGGCCTGTGGTGAATGTTTGATTCAGTGTCACAAGGGATCTAGTCGGTTGGTGGGCTTCCCTAATTAGGCTTTCACCTCACGTCGTCTTACTGCCATTATTACCTGTCCCTGTTTCACAAAGTCTTTGTTGTCCATTGTTTCTGTAACTGTGGATTTTTTCCAGGAGGAGGTAGTCGGCCTCCTGCCCAACCCCCAAGCTTGGAGGACCAGTGGTTTTCTGTCAGGGTGTCCTTCCCTTATGCTGCGTTGGTCCACGGCACCTTCAGTCTATCCGGTGCACCCCTCACTTATTGAGGGATCCCCTATCCGCCACCCGGGGGACGTGCCTCCTAGCCGTGCAGCCCCAGCCGAAAGCTCATGAAAGGCAGCAGACATGAAATCTCATTTGTCTGTGTTACAAAAAACTCTAATCATGTTAACTTTGGTCATACCTTTTGAGTGAGAAGAGAGGGTTTTCATATTTAACATATATATATATATATTTATTACCTTTCCAAATATGCTATACCTGATTTTTTTACCATGTGACTCTGAATTGAAAGTTGACATACTTTTCGATAATTTTTAAAAATACTTTGAATTGGTCATAACTTTTGACAGAGAAGAGATAGGGCTTTTAAATTCATATTAAATTTTTACATTACTTGTGTAAGTAGTCATGCAATAAATTTTCACAGCAGTAAATACCTAGGAATCAGTGTGAGGTCTTATAATTAGGCTGTAAAATTGACCGATATGTAAACTTGATAGATGAACATAGATGTTTGTTATTGAGTGTAGAACATTAGTTACTAAACTATCCAATTGCCTTCTTCTAATGCTGCAGTGGTCATTAAACACTGTTAAATGATAAAATTATAATGTGGGTCAAACTTTTGTTAAAAGTAGATCACATGTACACTACAGGGTATTGCTAAAAAATATACCTGCCTCTGATTTCTTGTATTTTTTGAGAGATTAATTTCATCTCTTCATTTCATATGTAAAAACAAATTACTGACATAAAAAATGTTACATAAAACCTATGTTTTACATAACTAACTGATTTATGTATTAGTATTATATCAAGAGTAAAATTTGATCCAATGTTTTGATGATGTTAACTCTTAATTAATTTAACTGAACTGATTTTATTTTGAATACTCAATTTCACTTCTATGAATGAAAAATTATCATACTTTCCTTAAAACAAGACCTTCAGATGTAAAAATTATTAAGTAATAAAGTGGGATAAGGTGTCTTCTAGGTGATTGATTGATCTTATGCGATTTGCAAAAAAAAAAAAAATGTCGATAAAAAATCTCAATCCAGCTTTGAGACCCAAATTCTAGCTGAAAAATTTCAAATCTCCAGTTGTCAGTTCTGTCAGATGTATGCAAGTTGTGACAATACCTTTCAAAATATTCTATGATTTTTATCCTGTGACCTTAAAGTTTGATCTATTTTTCATAAAAAAATTTTACCTTACTTTAAATCAGTCACACATGTAACTTTGCCATATATGTCCTAATGACATTAAATACTGGTGGAAATTGAACTGTAATGTAATTCTTCTTTTGTGTTCACATGCAAATCATCACTGTTTCGCATTAGTGAAATATTCAGCATGTTTCCTTATTATCACAATTGCCAAATTCCATAGGTGAAAGAATGGGACTTGAAATTATATTTATGCACATGATGTAGGTAGTACATGTATATTTGCTGAAAAAATTGACATTTGTACATAAACATATTTTTGATGTTGTATTTATTGTGTTCACCTGACATTAAATTGCTATTAGTGAAATATGTAAACAATTTCAATATATGCCTTGATAGAATAATCATTAAAGTTCTATCTTGGTCATGAAGCATTAGTTACTCAAAGACCAAAAAATCTGAGTCTAATGCTGTACTTGATGGAAAAAAATCCACTGTTTCTAACATTCTTTGATTGCATAAAATGTAATCAAATTAACATTAAATGACAATGGAACCAGACACTGAGAGAATTTGAAAAATTAATTATTCTATTTTAAAACACAGGATATAAACATCTTTTTATTTACTAAATGGGGAATCAAATTCAAAATATGTTGTGCCATGGAATATATATTCACATTACTCTTAAGCCTGTTGCAACACAATATTATAAAAGTTTTATATTGGATCTAATGCATTTTGACAAAACTTAGACAATAAAATTTTACCCTTGATTTTAATGTCAATATGAACATAAACATAAATTTTTGATGACTAAAAGTATCAAATTTACAAAATCTTATCATGGTGATTAAAGTCTTAAATTTTATAACACAGGATAAAACATGACCTGGATTCATTTACTGAAAAAATTTCTGTATCTTAGTGTTTTGTGTCACAATTAATGTTGAGATATTACCCTTTTTCATGATGAGGACAACCAGTCCGAGTTTGATAACTCCGTTGCAGGTCAACACAAATTTTGTTGAAAGTTTAATTAAATTGCTCCTTGAAATTTTACATTTTTTTGTGAGTCACATGCTATATAAATAAATTGATTTTGATAAATATTGTTTTCATAAAACAAATCATTACATTCACGTAACAATGACAAGATAGATCAAGAGTCACGTATGAGAGAGTTGACTTAAACTTCTCTTATTACCAAAAGGTAGTATCTGATGAGGACAAGACAAACAATGCCCATTCAAACAAAATATAAAGATAGAATTATGAAAACAATGCATTTTTAAAAATATTGGTATCAAATGTTGTTTGTTATATATAATAGAATAATCATTAAGGCAAGTTCTATCTTGTTTTTAAATAAACATTTTTAACAGCATCATGAATCACAAATGTACAAAATTTGCTTGTAGTTTTAGAAGAAATAAAAGTTTATTAGAAAAACATGCCATAGCTGTAATATAAATGACAATCATCTAATCTTGCTTCCATGTTCTTTATCCAACAAGAAATACAAACTTTAATGTCAGGTCAAACATGATCTAACACTGAATTTTGTCTGTTGTCGAATTAAATTCACTTTTTGTTGAAATCCACTCAACAAATTACTTATCTGGGAGCTCTATTTCACCTCCAACGTGGTATGGTTTACATTCTTTGAAATTCCCAACATACTTTTCTCAGACCTGGATTGTGCATCTTGTTGAAATTCCCGCCAAATGTAAACATGGACAACCTGGAACACATGATTCTATTCCATCTACTTTGAAAACAAGAGAACGTCCTTGCATTCTCTATAGAAATCATACAACTCTCTGAAATTGTGTCAGGAGTCAAGGAACCAACCACACTGAGAGAATTTGAAATTCAACGCCAGGGAGGAACAAAATCTCCAGTGTGTATGTTGACATGGAGGCTTCTGCATTGGTGTCGATTCCGATACTATTTTCTCCACTCCAAACATGATGATAACCGTGTCCTCCTTCACAAAGTTCTACAGCCATTCCTTCTATATTTTTCTGAGGTAAAACATGAACTAAAGCTTTTTCGTTTTTGGCCTTCATATACACATACATTCAATTTTCTTGCGAAACTATTCCTCTTTCGGACTTGTACTAGCAAAACTGTTTCACTTTTGGCTGACTTTTTCATCTATGACACCTTGTAATATGATTGAATTGAAAGTCATCAAATTCAAAATTTTTTAAATTGTTTGTCTAGCCATGTTTCATTGAACAATATAATGAAGTTTCTGACTGCTTTTCCTTCAGCATTGTCAACACTAATATGCTCTTTCAAAGGAGGAATTGACTTTTACAATATGCAGTTTTTGGTCAAAAAATGTGCTCAAAGATTAAGCTCTGTTCACCATGTAAGTAAAACAACATTTTGAAGGTTCGCTCATCATAGAAGTCTGGATAATCTTGCATCACTTTTCAGGGATTAATTTGTCTCATCTTGCACAACAGTTAAGTAAAACAACTGTTTTGGTGAAGGTTTGCCAAGACTTCATCCTTGACACATCCATAAAGGGAAAAGAATAGAAATAAAGTACACCTGTTGGTGAGTGCAATCTTTATTGCTTACTATTTTTAATGCATTTTCATCCTTTGTTTCTATGAATAAACCATTTTGTGTGTGACTTAATAGCAACTGGATATGCCTGTCCTTTTCTCAGGAGCGTTTCTAAATAAACCATTTTGTGAAGTGACCGGCTAATAGCAACATATGCCTGTCCTGGAGCGAAAGTACGATCTAAATTTACTACAACGCTGTTTGTTGTCATGCCTTGAACTTTATGTGCTGTGCATGCCCATGCAAGTTTCAAGGGAAACTGATATCGTACAACATTCTTTGTATTTTTCTCCTTGATGTCTTCTTGTATTCTTTGAATCAATACTTCATTTCCATGTGGCGTCTTTTTCCCTTGCAGCTTTCCAATATCTTCACTATCAAACAAAATTCTAATCCCTTCTACCCTATTTCTTTGCTGAGCTTGTCCAAAATCAAATGCTGAAATATGTCCCATTGCACCATTCACCAGCCCGTCTTCAACATTAATATTTCTTGTAAGCATCACTCTAGCATTCACAGAAAACAGCAAAGAAGCAGAGAGCCCATCTGTTCTTGTCCGTATGAAGGGTTTTTCACGTAAAGTCAGCTTTCCTGTAGTGTTGTCTTTTTGATAATCTTCTGCAGATATCTCTATCAGTTCTTCACAACTTGCTTGCAACATCTTGAGATTATACTCATTCGCTTCTTCATTTGTAGGATACACATGCAGTACTTCATCTGGTCCATCTCTGATGCAGTCTTTTAACATTGTTTTCGCATTTTCTGATACTGGTTCTTCAATCGTTCGAACCCGTAATGAATTCAAAACTGTAGCAAATGCAGCATCATCACGTTGTCTCATTATTTCTTCTAACTCAACAATTTTGAAGAAGTCTAACCAGTAGTCTATGGGATATTCATCATTTTCTTTGTAGAGTATTTCCAACTTTCGTTGTTTCACAGGAGGTAATTGGTAAAAATCTCCAACTGCTATAACAGAAATACCGCCAAAAGGTTCCTTGCATTTCTTGATTTGTACCAGTCGTTCATGAATGTAATACAAAAGTCGTTTGTAAACCATTGAGACTTCATCGATGACTAAAATCTGCAGAGAAGCTAACTTTGCTCTCATTGCACTCAAACTCTGTTCTTTCAGGGGTTCATATGGGAAAGGTAGAGCTTTGGTTAAAGAAAATACGTGGTGAATTGTATTGCCCCCAATATTGAAAGCAGCAGTTCCAGTAAAAGCTGTGAGAAGAACAGATAAATCTGAAGGAGATAAAACAATTTTCTCAAAAATTCGAGAGGCCTCATACTGTATGGTTTTTATCAAGTGACTTTTTCCTGTTCCTGCACCTCCAGTAACAAAGATATGTAATGGGTCTACTTTCCTCTCAGCCACTTTTTTCAAGCACCATTCACGAACTATGTAGAAAACCTGTTTTTGTTTATTATTTAAACTTCGCAGTAAAGGCAAAATTTCTTCCCTTGAGTTTGAACTTTCCCTAATATGGTATATCAAATCTGAAGCGCCATCATGTTCAATTTCATGGGTGATTTCTCGTTCTTTGTTTTCTGATTGTTCTGTTTTCCTCTTTTCGTTTAGACATTCATCTCGATTTCTTTCAGTTTCTGGACAAAGGTTAGCCCAAGCATCTTCAGGTTCACCATAAACTTCTAGAGTTTCCTGAGCATTTTCAAGGGCAGCCTTATTCTTTGAGAAATTACAACGATTATTTTCAACCACAATCCTGACAGACTGTAATTTGTTTCCAGTTCTTATTCTGACAAACCCATTTTCGTAAAATGCCTGATAAAACTTGAATCCAGGTGGTTTCAATTGATCTTGAGTCCAATAAGGAAGAAAAAGCTGTAGTATTGACTGATAATACTTTTCTGATGCACTTTCAGGATTGAACCTTGGATATCTTACTATGGCTGGCTTAGCTCTTGTTCTTCTCTGAATATAACCATTTCCATTTTTCAATTCATAAACGCCTTCTTTTACTCCCTTGGGAATTTGAGATTTCGCCAAAACACGATATTCTGAGCAGAATTCTGCAAGGCACATTTCAGGAAAAGGATGTAGATCAGGACGATTTTCATATCTCTCCACTATATTTGTCATCCAAATACTGTCGTCATCATCTTCCATATCATCTTCATTCTTACATGTTCTTTTCATTTGTGAAAGGGGTTTACTCAGTCGAGTCGGATTTTCACCAACTGGAACAAACACCACTTTTCTTGATCCTTCTTTCATTTTTAGATTACAAACTCTGTACACTGCTTCTTGGGCACTCACTTCTCTATGATTAAGATAAGCTGATCCAATTCTTTTTATTGTTTGACGAGCACTTAAATTTCCCTCTACAGATTCTACTTGAGTTTGTTTTAACAGCATTCCCATTTCACGTTCTGACTTTGATATGTATGAAATTATGTAAACAATACAGCTAAACGGGTCTAGGATATACTGTATGTCCATATTTGCATCCCAACATCTGAGAAGGCATGTGTTGTATTGGTTTGTCCACATTTCATCAGGATTTCGTTTCAAGATAGTACTTGTTTTAGCAGATAATACCCTGTGGGCCATTTCGTAAGTATCCTGTGATAAGTGCATGTTAGAAAATATTTCCTCTGCAGTTTTGCCTCCATTCACATCATCAAGAACTTCATTCCAAACACGCAACAAAATATCTTTAGCCTGAGATTTACTCAATCCATCGAATTTCTCAGAGTCTTCCTCTTTCTCCTCACATTGTCTTGTAATAAATGTTCTTTCTGATGGTGGTCTTGGAAAATGGAATCTACAGTCTGTTCCCTTTTTCCTACAGGATTTTGAATGGTTCTTACTATGTTGTTGAACACCTAAAACAATTTTTCGCAGCTCTTGGTCATCATTTTCAGCAGGTAAAGCGCATGTGATATATTTATCAATAAAATCACAAACAGTTTTATCACCATCTTCCTCAAATTTTGGGGCATTCTCAACCCAGTACAAGCAGTGCATGTGTGGAGAGCCCCTTTGTTGAAATTCTACTCTCACAAAAAAATCAATAACATTTCCTATAGGTTTTGAAGGTGACATTATAACATGTCTTTGAAACATATGAAATCTATGTTCAAACATTCTGGCAACAGTAACTGGATTGCTTCTTAAAATCTCACTCTTTTCTGACCAGTCTAAATCAGAAGGGGATCTAGAATCATTTTCTTGAAATAAAATTGATGCAATTATTTCGTTCCATCTGTATTCAGCTGCAGAAAATGAACAAAACCATGTTGGGATACCTAACTGTCGAAGCATAGCGAACAGATCTTTCTGAGAAGCCGACCAATATGCAGGTGTTCCTCGAATAGGTTGCATAAACCGTAAAGCCTCATCATTTCTTAAGAGTCTTGAGAGAACATCAGGATTCTGTAACATTTCAGATGTTACTGCATTTCCACTATCAAGCTTTGAAAAAGACTTTCGAATTGAAATTTGTGTTTTCTCTATTACTTGGTTCAATTCTGACATGTATTGAGAGAAGAAGATGTAATTTGTGTCCTTAGCAAATCTGTTATCAGCATTCATAAGTCTGTTGTTAAAATATCTTGATAGCGTTATTTTCACATCTCGATCTTCATTCCAAGAAAATTTGCCAGTTGGAAATAAATGTGGAAATGATTTTGCCTCGTTTCCTTCTTCTTGCAACATTCGGACTGGATTTTTCCCTTCACCTGGTGCTATATTGTAAACATCATCAAAGTAATGATCAAGAACTTCTTGTGCCACATCTACTGGCTGTAAACATGTGTCAGTAGCAACTGGATTTTCATCTCTCTCATCTTCTTTCACTTCTTCATCTACAAATTCACTAGTCTCATTAAATAGCAAATCATTTTCGTCACTATTTCCTTCCCACAAGTTATTGATCACTACGTCTTTATACCATTTGTTTTCTTTCCTTAAATAATCAAGAGCCATGTTAACATGAGTTGGATTAACAAATTGATATTCGTAATAGCCCTTGTACGCTAGCTTTCGTTTTAGCTTAACTCTTAACAATAAATTGTCATCCCTGTTTCTTGGCAAAGCTGTTGCCTTTTCCATATTTGATGGCACACAAACAACAGGCCCATGTACATTCCTTTGACCACCTTGTGGAAGAGCCATCACTTTCATAAAGGGAATATGCAAAGCAATTAAATGCTGCTCCAAACTGTTTAAACTGCTAAGCTCGCATGGAATTTCCTCTAATGACATTTTATTTACAGCTGCCTCTGCTGGAATATTCCCATTCAATATTTTCCTATGACAAGTAAAGCATATCCACAATGATGAATGGGGGCAGTTCACTGGACAAGACAATGTACAATCATGGGAGCATTTTTTCTGTATACAAATCTGTGCAATTTTATAAGCTTCATGTCTTTTCTCATACATTTCAAGTGTGCATCGTTGGACTTGATGTTCAAACAGTAAACGATTACAACAGCAACATATGTAGTCTGGGCCATCTCTCACACTTTCCTTAAACAGTTTCAAAACTTCTTCTTCATCTTCCAACTTTACTTTTAGTGCCCGTCTCTGATTCAGGACATTCTCCTTCTTCTTCTTTTTCTCGTCAGCACTAAAATGATACTGTACTTTATTAACAGCCTTAACCTTATGTCTATGTTCTTCATCATTCTTGTACTTTTCAATACTTCTTTGTTTAACATTCAATCTGTGTGCTTCATCATTTTTGTACTTCTCTATACTCTTTTCTTGATAATTCCTTTTGTGTACTTCATCATTCCTGTACTTTTCTAAACTTCTCTGTTTTAAATCCTCTCTGTGTACTTCATCATTCCTGTATTTCTCTGTACTTCTTTGTTTTACATTCTTTCTGTGCAATTCATCATTCCTATACTTTTCTTTACTTCTTTGTTTAACATCTTTCCTGTGTTCTTTATCATTCCTGTACTTATTTATACTTCTTTGTTTAACACCCTCTCTATGTACTATATCTGACCTATATTTCTCAATACTTCTTCTCTTCCTGTATTGTTTATGGATACCATCTGTTGTATATTTCCTTTTACAAGCTTCCAAGCTCCTCTGCTTTGCCTTTGCTTTGAAAATTCCATCACTTTTATATCTTTCCTTACCATTTGCGATTGCCTTTAATCTAAATTGAAGGTCAGTCTTGTACCTCAGTTTTGCTGCTCTTAATTTCCTTTCTGTGTAATTTTCATTCTTTAGTTTCTTTTCATGATTTGTACTTAATTTTTTGGCAGATGAAAAGATACGCATTTCCCTCATACGATCTCGATTTTTACGTCTTTCTCTATAGTCTTTCTTGCCAACATACAGAGCATTATTTTTCAAGGAACTTACCGTTTCTTTCTCAGTAACTGACACCACTACATTATAATGATTCTGATCCTGATGAACTAAATAAAATGATCCTGTGCTTTGAACATTCATAGGTTCTACCTGTTTTCCTGAAAATGTAACCCAGTGATTTTCTGTATAAGTATGTATATCAGTGCTCAAGAGGTGAGAGAGAGCAAGAATTTCCATTTCAGTTGCCCATGTACCATCGTTTGACATACCTGTTAAATTCAAGTGATTTTCAACAGAACTTTCTGTAGATCTTACAAAAGTTTCAAACAATATTCTATTTTGTAGTAGATGTTTACACACTGCTGATCGTATTGCATAATGATAATCCTCTACTCCAATCAAACAAAATGAAATGGCCCTGAAAAAACAATTTCCATCCCCTTCAATTTCGACATATTCACTAGGTGCACCTGCTTCTTGCACAAAGCAATCCTGTTCAACATTACTATTTGTATCTGACTGTGGTATTCCCAGGACCTGACAAAGCTGTAATTTCACAGTGTTAGAAAGTGGCAGAAAACTTATACTATGACTTTCACTGCAAATGAGTTGAACATCATCATTGGCAACTGATTGAAAACCATAAGTATCTGACTGAACATTTGCAGTCAAAAGGTCTCTGTTTTCTTGAACTGCTAAATTCAAGCCTTTATTTTGCTGAGTACATTTTCCTGGCTCAATTTCAATTATATGTTTATCAGTTGTTGCAAACTGGCAAACTGAACAATCGACACCTGTTATTTCACATTCAGTAATTCCAGAAATTCCCATTGACACTGCCAAGGACAATATGTGATTGTAAATATCATCAACCGATTGATACAGTATCCTTGTACTCCTTCCACTTACACTCATACACCCCGATTGTGACCGTGAATGTGGATCAAATGTAAAGAAGCCATCCTCTGTTTTTCCAACCAAAAAAGTATTTCCCTTGAAGCATACAAAACACCCACTTGTTTCTCCAAGACCAATTTGCAATGCATCTGTCAGTGAATATGCATTAAATTCATCATAGTTTGGTTCTACATCTGACAAATTTATTAGGCTGCATAAAGATTCGCATGCTTTGAACTCAAACGTTGTATTAAAACACTCAAAAAATTGAGGCAACTCGTTCACAAAAAGATACCTACTGACAATGGTTGAACTACGCTGCAAGTATGTATAAAGCTCATCTCCTGTTGCTAACACTTTATTCATATCTGAAGTTTGCCACTGATTAGAATTCTTTACTTTATGGTATGCTAATGCTGCTAACGAGTTCGCAACACATTGTGTTCCTGCATTTTCACCAAACATTAAGTCACCTTGATGAAAAGACCCTTGAATAGATACCTTGTTCAATGTTACTGGTCCATCTTTACTTACACAAGCATAATCACCACCAAGTTCACCAGTACACAGTCTTCCAATTCTGCACTCTGATTTATTTCTCTCATATACACTATCTATATTCTCATTTTCATCATGTAAATTCCTTTTAGTATTCCTTTTAGATCTCGTTCTTTTACTCTGGTTTGCATCAATCAATCTCCTGCTGGACTCATCCCCCTTGGAGGATGACATATCCAGCTGCGCCTGACCTGCTGAGCCAGACACGTGCACGGTGTCCAGCTCAGGTACCCTCGGCGAGGTACAAACCCACGGTGGGGAGTCAGGGGACGGTGCCATGCCTCCGTTTCGGGCACACAGACGACTTCCCTGAGAAGATGCGTTACTCAGGGCAGTTGGTTGCATTTTCTCGCGAAGAGAGGCCTGCAACCTGGCCAAGGGTTTTTCCTCAAAAGGCGGCAACCCTATAGAGCCTTGCCCCGGAAAATTACCGGGTGGAGCTGAGATAGCTCCATCTACTGCTCCAGCTGGGACAGCAGAATCTGGAGGAGGATCTGATGGTGGCAAGGACTGCTCCTGCCTCTTTTCCCTCTTGCGGTCTCTATCTCTCTGGCGTTTTTCCCTGCCATTCAAGGTCTTTCTTTTTGGCATCTAAAAAATAAAACATTTTTCCCATATATCAAAACAAGATATTCATGTTAAATTAGATAAGGATACCAAATAAAAAATTTAATCACCTTGCACTCCATAACAATGTCTTTTATGTTCTACACTTTAAGCTATGGCTATTAACAGGATATACATGTATGTGTACACAATTTGGTTTATTCAAAATTTAGTGCAATCTATGGATATACAGTTGTTGGCTTAATCATGAATTAGCGCTACACATGTCTATGATGAATATCTGTATATTGTATTTGTAAATTATTTCTTTAGCAGTATTCGTGAATTTAAGTCCATCATTGTCTGCGCCAAAGCTGCTTAATAATGAAGCACTCTTTTTAAGTACACATACAGTACCCCTTTTAGGCCTAAAATAAAAATTTGTTTGGTTGCAGTTGCTTCTAACCCAGTGAAAATGCACTGACATTAACTTTCTTTTACTCATTTTGTTAAAAAAAAATGATAATTAAATTTTTCAGGAAAATGGAATTGTTTCATTTACAATTTTTGACTTTTGTTTTTATCAATCAGTGGTTTATAACAAGAGTGGAGCTTATTTATGTTAAGTAGGCCTATGAAACGGTCTTTTATTTGTTATCTAACAAAAATCCTTAAGCAATTTTTTTATTTTTAAAAAAAAAAAGAAGAAAAGAATGCATACCTACCTACCTAACCAGTCTAAAAATTATAAGTCGGCAACTGCAAACAAAGAATTTTTTAAGCTTGGCCTTATCAATAACTCTACCATTAAACTTTAATCACAGTTCTAAAACAGCTTTGCATTGTTTACAATTGTAATGTCTTTACAACAGTGCAAGGTATAACTAGGACAGATCTTAATAATCAAATTTAAAGAATTGTGGTACCCCACTTTCTTGGTCAGTTCAATGTTACGATGCAATTAACAGTGGGAATATTGTCTTGTCTGTATGTCTTGTCTTGTTCTAACATTAAAAAAGAATCTTTTTTTTTAATTAATAACAGGAATGACCATTTTTTTTTGTAAATGGCTAAGCATAGGCCTGATGTGAATATACAGTCTGATATCAGTGAACTATCTAGAGGGACGTTAAACAGTATACAATCAATCACAGGGTTGAATGGGGTTGTACCAAAATGATTACAAACAAAAATTTGTCTATATATGTTATGGACAGTTCTATTTTTCAGTTGATTACTCCAAGGACCCAGCATGCATCGTCAAAGTTTGTTGATCAAGGCCAATAAGTAACGTTGACTTACTTGTAAGTGAACATGATATGAGGTCTCAAAAAGTTGCTTCAATTGACAATATTTGATTAATAAACCTAGTCCTTATCAAACTTTTAACACAACATTCAATTTCCAATTTGCTTAATTAATTTAGACATCAAACAAGAGACCCATAGGCCACATTGCTCACCTGAACACATTGGCTGGGAAAAATCATGTTAATATAAATAAGTTCAATTACAGGTAGATGAACAGAAAATATGAAGTTGACATCAGATTCATATCAAAATTAATCCCACCATATGGCATGCCTCAAGAAAGAGTGTACTAAAATTTCAAGCATCTGTTATGAATAGTTAAAGAAACTGTGAGGAAAATTTGTTATGTATGAAACAGACGCACAGACAAACATGATGTTAACATTGGATTTGAACAAAAATATATCCCACTATATGGCATGCCTCAGGGAAGATTGTGTAAAAATTTCAAGTATTTGCGATGAGTAGTTGCTGAGAAAACTGCGACGAAACCTTGTTTTGTATAAAACGGACAAATGCACAGACAAACAGGAAGTTGACATCAGATTTGACCAAAAATGTATCCCACTGTATGGCATGCCTCAGAGAAGATTGTGTTAAAATTTCAAGCTTCTACAATGAGTAGTTGCTGAGAAAACTGCGACAAAAATTTGTTACAGACAAAGGGACACACAGACAGACAGACACACAAGGGTAAAACAGTATACACCCCTATTCTTTGGAGTGGAGGTATAATAAACGGGGCTGGACACTTTGAGA